ACCTAATGAAAATAATAATTATTGTTTGGCATACTGTATTTCCAAAGCACTGTGCAAACATTAACTCTGTAATCAATCAATCCTCAAAATAGCCCTGGGCGAGTGATAGCATTCCTGTTTCAAAGCCGGGGGAAATTGAAACACGGGAAAGTTAAGTGGTCTGTCTGAGGCCACACAGCGAGTAAGTGTCAGAGCTGGGATTGGAGCCCAGCACTTCCTGGCTCCTGCCTCGCTGCTCGATGCACTGGACCACACCGTCTCTCTTCCAAGCAAATTGCCTTAAATACACAAGCGGGGATCGTTAGCAATAATAACGTTTGGGGTAAATTAAACTCTCTTTTGACACTGGGCAAACTGACAGCTCGAGCCCGTCCTGCAAATAATGGAAACGTTGAAAAGCCCGAAGTCGCCTTTCGTGGAGAAAAGAGTCAGGCCATTTCATTCCTAATTAAAGTGCCCCCATCCAAGATGGTCTTGCAGTCAGAGGTAGATTTTCACCTGAGTGTCATGCGACTAACTTGCAGCACCGTGCCTTGAGTTATAGACTGCTGTTTTCCAACTGTTATCATACACCCAAGTTCTTTTTCCCTTCGGGATGTAACCTTAGTTTCAGACGTAATGAGCTTGCCAGAATTTATTATTGCTGCAGTACAGTTAAAGCTAACAAGTGGAGGAGTATCAGTGGAGGAGACGGTGGCATAGTCTTTTTAGCAGGTCAGAAAGTGGTTAGGCTAGTTTAATGTAAGCAGGTAAAATTAGAAAGGGGCAAAGCCTGATGCCCCCACCCTGAATTCGGTGCAGAGGAACCAAAATAGGAGCAGTTGTGTTGGATCCAGTATGATCGAAGGGCTGTGCTTCTGCTTTTGTGCAGCAGAGTTCAGCACCACTGGGGAGGTCTCTGCGCTGCTGCAGAAGAGCTGTTGTGGGCAGAGGAAGTGATCTTCCACAGCACTGATTTGCCTCTGTGTCCCCCACCAGGAAAGGAGGGCTTTTCCTGAGGCTGGAGAAGCAGTGGTGGAACAGCAGCACTTTGTGCAGCCTGAGAGCACAGTCCTCCTAACTCAGCCCAGCTGAAGACTGTGTGCTGGGAACAGTATGCGGGGGGGTGCTGAGTGATGTGCAGAATCTGAGCAGGGTTTATTCTTTTTTTATTGTGCTAAGCAATGTTTTTTTTTTCCTTTTACAACGCAGGAGAATTTCTCGTTTGCAGAAAAATAGGGCTATTAAAATCGGTGGCAGCTATGGGAAGAGCTTTGCAAAAGTATGCTTGTTTTGCAGAGTGTACTGCCAAGTATTGTTTTACAGTTTCATTTTTTCCTTCTCTCTCTGTTGTTTACAGTACCCTCAGAGAACTGAAATGATGTTTCTCTGCCTACCAATTTTGTTCCTTTTTTTTTTCTTTTTGGCAAATGTTGATACCCCACTCCCACATCCCAGTTTTAACTGCAACAGAAGCCATCAGCCCTTTGCCTTACTTTTCCTTCTTATGATTAGCAGCCCAGCCCTGAGAACAGCATTTGTTAGTTAACTGCTGTGTTGCAAATTATGCAAAATGAGCCCCATGCAAGCCAAAGTCTGCTTGTGATGTCAGCAGACTTGCACAGAAGTCACTGAAATCCAAATTTGACCCTTGTTCCCCACCCCCCAAACATCCTAATGACCCCTAATGATGATTTTGTTTTTCTCAGCGATGGGAAGATGAGGTTAAAAAAAAAAAACGAGCTGGAATAGGTAAGCTTGCTGACTTTCTTTACCAAAATTGGATCAAGTGCGTGTGCATGCCTGGGTGCGGCCATGCAGTTTTTGCATGATCATTGAAAAAGAGTTTACACCATTGGCCAATAAACAGTAAGCCCAACACTGACTTCATTGGAAAGCGTTTCGTTAGCAGATCACTAAAGGGTGGGTTATCACAGCAGCTCTTCCATCACTGCTGGATGTTTGTGGCTGCCTGTGTAATGGGTGTTGGTGGTCACAGTCCCACATGTAGGAGACAGGTGTCTACAACGGGAGAAGGTCCCATTATAGCTGGGGTATTATTAGCAGCTTCAACAGACAAGGAAAGAGCAAATGTGACTACTGAAGTTTTTCCTGACTCGTATAGGTGGGTCCTGTAGGGACGGGGTGGAAGGACAGAAGGGGCTCATTTCCAGAGAGATCTCTTTCTTGGATAAAAAGATACGACCGTTTTTAGCACTGTCAGTCTGGCACTATCATAAATCAGATGGGTGAGGATTCATGAATGCAGCATAAGGCACATTGTGGATGGCTTAAGTTTGTCATCCATTAAACCTGTGCACACTTGCCTACAATTATGGCATTTATTATCCATTATTTGTTCCGTGCCAACAGTATACGAAGCATTTTATTTATATGTGTATAAAATATACATTCTCCTTCTCCCCCTCTTTCTTGGAATAATATCAGACATCTGTACTTTGGCTGCTGATTAAATATGGGGTAACTGAAGTAAGAGATTTAAATGCTATTGTCATAAATTAAAAAGGAGGAATAAAGTATTATGCTTCTTTTGTTATGTGTATGTACTTTTAATAAGGAGAGTCTGTATCCATGTAGGTTTATTTGGACCTAAACAGGAGCAGCTAATTCTGAATGACAAATGGATTTTCCTCCTTAAACAGTGCTGTTTATACTTAGCCCCTAAAGTTAATTATTATTTTAATCTGTACATAAGCTGACACTTCTTTGCATGTGGTTTGACTAAGCAGGCTGGGGAAATTAGAAGAGTAACCTTTTAATCACTGGGTTTTTGAATGTAGACATTTTTATGTTCAAAGAATGATGAATCTGTCCAGAATGACTTGTTTGATATTATGGGGCCTATGAAATTTCAAAGTTAACGTTCCACAAATAAAATGGAAAGAAGAAAAACGGGAAAAGGAGTATATTTAAAATTACACAATCTTTGTGTTTTATGGGTTCCAGGTTATTTGGAATGGAATGAAAGTTAGTGCTACATCCTTTTTTCCATCCTGCCAGCCAGTATCTGATCCAAAAATGTCTCTTATTTAAAGGGCAGGGCTCCCTCCACTGTTCTTAAATAAAGGCTTCCACTGTCTGAGATCTAATCCTCCCTGATTTCCACAGTAACATGATAAGAATGCAGAGGGAGAAATTTTTAATGAAAAAAAGTTTTGCATATAATTCCCATATCACCAGGAAGCTAAACTCATCTGGTTCAATTTACATTTATGCAAATATCATAAAATAGAGCAAAATTACTAAAGGGAGGAGGAAGGACCATGGCATGTCACAAACAAGATGTGCCTATTTGTATTTATGTTTGCTAATGAATTTCAGCCAGAGCTTGCTCTTTGATTTTGGTGTCTCAGTCTGCTATTCCACTTTATGCATTATAATTAAATCACTTGCCCACACACATACACAAGGACAACAGGAAAGGGAGCCTTCAAGCTTTTAAAATGTTGTTGCGTGTAACTTGGATAGAAGGCAAAAGTAATACAGAAATACACCATTGTAAAGTGTCCCAACGGGCCCGGTTCCCTGTTCATGGGAGTTGTTGTACCTCTCTTGAAGTAAACAGAGCCACAGACTTAAACCAGGAGACAATTTGGCGCAATACAGTGTAGCATTTGTAAAGCTCATGGGGGATGATGTTTGGGCTCTAAACTTTTTACTTTTTAGCCCCAGTGAGGAATCTAACTCAGTTCACCCAACCCCAAAATTGTCATGTCTATGCATTTGTCTGTTCAGAATCGGTCTTTCTCTTCCCCTCTTTCTCACCATGCTACGTCTGTGAAATAATCCATCCAATAATGTAAGAGTTAACTAGAGATAGCCTTGGCCAGCAGTCTTTGGATTCTGAAATTTTCCCAAATTCGTGAGTATTGAGATTTTTGGGTTTGGCTTGGACCCATTTCTGTAAATCTCTGCTTCACATATCAATGTTAAAAAACCCACTGGCTTCCTGACTAGCTTCCTGGTGTTGTCTTCCATTCTGTGTCACCCTGGTCTCTCAATACGAGGCAAGAGCATTATTTGCCCTTTCAGCTATCTGCACAGCTCTCCCTGCTGGGAGAAACATGTATGGTGAAGAGACTAGTCACCCTTTTTTGTGTCAAGACCTGTATTTTGAACTTAATTTCCCATTTGCCTTTTTAATGGAGCATCTCTTCCTTTTTGCTGCTGGGCATCAAATCTACCTTAGTAATTCCACCTTATGCCATCTCAACAAAAGGGAAGATTGTGATGTTGCTTTCTCTTGAATGAGAGGAAACTAGACAGTGTTCTTCTCTCTCATCTCCTGACAACACACACAAATAATATTGTCATTTACAGTCCAAAAAGTATATAGGTTAGATGACTTAAATTTGCAAAGAGTAGGAATTTCAAAAAAGGATGTCTTTGCTATTAACAAGTTCAAAAAGGCTTAAATAAATCAAGGGCTCTAACTGTTCACGGCAGCTCTTTTGGAGGATGTGCATGCATAGAGGATGCATGATGTTATATCATGGTGTCAAGGTTTAATTGGCCTGAGTTTGGACTGCAGTGTCACAAAGCCACAAGCTGGCTCTGTAAGTCATCTTAAACAAGGGAAAGGCCACCTCCTCATTTATGCCATCCCAGGGCTTTGGTGTAAAGTAACTTTAGGGTCAGATCCTATTCTAGCTATTACGTATCTAAGTGCAGTCCTATTCCAATGTGCTCAAGTCCCTGAAAAACCATGAACACATCTATTTTTTAACACATCTTCATCTTAATCTTAAGGCTAAGTCTTAAGAGCAGTGAGGAAGAAGAGGTCCCACTCACCTACCTTTTACATTAGCAATTTTTCAGGGACTCAGTCTGAAATGGGATCTTACCTGGGCACCTAATAGGTAAACTAAGCCTGGTTCTTAGTGTATATGAGTATCTATAGCAACTGCTTTTTTTACATGACACCAGAGTTTGTCTTCATTTTTTTTATACAATTGTTATAATGATTTTTTTTTTTAAATCCCTTTCTCCATTATACCAAGACTGCAGCTTGCAGGTTCATTCCAGTGACAGCCAGGTCGGGGAGTGCCTGCAGTGAGAGAGGTGCCTCCTGCTGGTCTCTCGCAGGGAACGGGCAAGAGAGCTACAGGAAGAGGTGGTGAGGCTCCAAAGCATCCTCCACCGTGAGTTCATTGATTCGATACTGAAAGAGATCTTCGGGACTGTGGAGGAAGAACTGCCAGAAGCCACGCTAGAGAAGAGAGAGCACATGCACTCCCAGGAGAGTGGAAGCTTGTGATCTCTGGCAGCAAGCAGAAATTGTCGCCTCCACCTGCAGTCATTCATCTGGAGAGCAGACGTGCAGCCCTAGCAGCAGAGGAGGAGTGCATTACACTGGTGGAGGAAGAGAGGTCAGGCCTCACCAAGGTGGGAAGGACAACCACCACCAAGAAGTGATGGGTGGTTGGAGACTTCCTTCTGCAGGGGATGGAAGGAGCCATCTGCTGACTTGACCTGTTGTCTTGGGAAGTCTGCTGCTTGCCTGGAGCCTGGATCCAAGATATCACAGAGGGATTTCCAAGACTCATCCAGCCCTGTGACTACTATCCCATGCTGCTCATCCATGTGGGGAAGGGGGTGACCTGGAGGAAGAACAAGCAGGAGGGGTCAACAGGCAAGGTGTTCTCACTCTTCCTGAGAAATCAGGGCAATCGACTAATTACCCCGGGTGTCTGTACACAAATGCATGGAGCTTGGGAAACAAGCAGGAAGAATTAGAAGTCCTCGCAGAGTCACGGCACTATGACGTGATTGGAAAAACAGAGACTTGGTGGGAGCTTGCACGACTGGAGCACTGTCATAAATGGGTACAAACCGTTCAGGACGGAAAGACAGGGGAGAAGAGGAGTTGTCATCACACTTTATGTAAAGGAGCCATATGACTGCTCAGAGCTCCAGTATGAAACTGGAGACAGGCCTGTTGAGAGTCTCTGGGTTAGGACCAGAGGAGGGAGCAACAAGGGTGATGTCGTGGTGGGGGTCTGCTCTAGACCACCAGACCAGGAGCAAGTGATGGATGAGGCTTTCTTCAAACACCTAAAGGAAGTTTCCCAGTCACAGGCCCTGGTTCTCATGGGGACTTCAATACTCCTGATGTGCTGGGAGGGCAATACAGCAGTGCCTGGGCAATCCAGGAGGTTTTTGGAGAGTGTTGGAGACAACTTCCTAGTGCAAGTGCTGGAGCAGCCAAGTATTAAGATCTTCTTGATCTGCTGCTCTCAAACAGGGAAGAATTGGAGGGGAACATAATAGTGGATGGCAAGTTGGGCATCAGGAACCGCCAGATGATTGAGTTCAGGATCCTGAGGAAAGGAAGGATGGAGAGCAGCAGAGTAAGGACCCTGGACTTCAGAAAAGCAAACTTTGACTCGCTCAGGGAACTCATGGACAGGAACCCCTGGGACGCCAGACTGAGAGGGAGAGGAGTCCAGGGGAATTTGCTATACTGTAAAGAAACCTGACTAAGAGTGCAGGAACAAACCATCCCGATGTGCAGGAAGAATAGCAAGTGTGGCAGAGGAAAACTAGCAAGTGTGGCTGGGGAGAAGCTCCGCAGAAAAGGGCCTGGGGGGTAGGGGGGAAAATAAGGGGGGGGTAGGGTGGACAATAAGCTGAATATGAGCCAGCAGTGTGCCCTTGTTGCCAGGAAGGCTAATGGCACACTGGGCTGCATTGGTAGGACTGTTGCCATCAGGTCAAGGGAAGTGATTATTCCCCTCTATTTGGCACTGGTGAGGCTGCATCTGGAGTACTGTGTCCAGTTTTGTGCCCCCACTACAGGAAGGATGTGGACAAATTGGAGAGAGTCCAGCGGAGGGCAGTGAAAGTGGTGAGGGGGCTGGGGGACATGACTTCTGAGGAGAGGCTGAGGGAACTGGGTTTATTTAGTCTAGAGAAGACTGAGAGAGGATTTAATAGCAGCCTTTAACTACCTGAAGATGTGTAACAAAGAGGATGGAGCTGGATTATTCTCACTGGTGGCAGACGACAGAGCAAGGAGCAATGGTCTCAAGTTGCAGCAAGGAAAGTTGAGGTTAGATATTAGGAAGAATTTTCTCACTAGGAGGGCAGTAAAACACTGGAACAGGTTACCCAGAGGGGTTGTGGACTCTCCATCATTGGAGGTTTTGAAGACCTGGGTAGACAAAGCCTTGGCTGGGATGATGTAGTTGGGGATTGTCCTGCTTTGAGCAGGGGGTTGGACTAGATGTGACCTCCTGAGGTTCCTTCCAACCCTCGTTTTCCATGATTCTTTGATTATTTTTCATGTCTCTTGGCAAATAAAGATGTCCTCTTTAGTACCCTGAATCCGGTAACCTTTATGTTAGGGGTAAATGTTATTACTTAGATACCTGTATAATAGTTTTCCTGTGCATAACAACTTTTAGAGGTTAAAGTTTGTATTTTGTAATGCATCAGGGCTTGGAAGCTGTTCTGTCTTGCTATGGAGAGTCGATATCTTTACTGCTGCAGATGACCCATTTCTGAAATGCTGGCTTGAGGGGAGGTTGAAGGTAAAGCCTGCTTTTTAGAGAAGTCACTTTGAAGCTCTTAAGGATTATAGACATTGCCTCTTACATGAGTTATTCAATAAAATGTGCATATATGAGAATCATTTCCTCCAGCTCTGGAAGGCGAAATGTTTTGTTTTCATTCTCGCCAAGGTCCAAAATGGCTGAAGGAATTTTGTTCAGCCTTTCCAAAAAAATTCAACTTTGGGCAGAGATTAAAAGCAAGGAAACTTTCAGCCCAAGGGTGAAGGTTCCAGTAAGCTATGAGTATGCGAGAACAGGGAGTTCAGTAGGAAATGCTTTGCAATCCTAACTATAGCAGGCATGAGCTATAATGTATTGCTAAATATAGATGAGTGGGAGTGTTCTGCTTTAAGAAGGTGGTGTCCTTCCAGCCTTGAAATTTGCTCCTAAAATGACCTTTTCTGGGGTATAGGGAACCATCTAATATTGCCCGTGTTGGAAATGTTTAAGCTCAATTATTTCCCAGGTGAGCTCAGCCAAGCCCAAATTTGCGCCTCAGCCAAAAATCCTTTCCCAAACAGGGCAGAATTCAATCATTTATCTTTAATGTGAATCCAACTTTATACTCAGGTTCATTTATCTCAATGTAAACTGCGCAGTAGCCCTAAATATTATATTTGTATGTTAAAGGTTGTCCCTGTGGTTATAAACTTTGTGAAAATATCGAGGTCAAGGAGGCAAAGGCATTATTTTTGCGTGGACATCAAAATGCCAGCCATAATAGTTTGGGCAGGCTGCAGATCCAAATTCCCTTGGACTTTCTAGTTGTGGTTGTGTGGATATATTGAATCCTTCTTTTAAAGTTATTGTCTAGCCTATTTTTGTGCATTTTGTATTTGGGTATAGTGTTTTTGTTTGGTTTTTGTTTTGTGGCGGCATTGTCATGTCTGATGGCTGGCTGCCTATCCTACAAGCTAATATTCCACCCTTTGACTTTCATACTATATACAGCTTAATCTATACATTGAAATATGATGTTTATATAAAGGGTGTTATAGCATATAGCGTGTATGGTTTCTCTTTGCATATTCAGTGCGTCTGAAAATTACTCTCTGTATATGATGGTTGTTTTTACACATATATTTGATTAAAATTCAGTATAAACATAATTTCAATCCAAAAGTTATTTGAGGCTCTTTCTTGCACTGTGTTAACACTGTTCTTCAGTTTCTAGTTCCAAAGAGGGAAAACTGGTTGCTCAAAAATGAGTTAGGAAATTTAATTCAGAATAATATATGCATAGTAGTACGAGGGTACAAATGGATATGCACAACTAAAGAACTATAGGGGATTAAACATTAAAGCAATGCCTTGCTAAACATTTTAGGCTCAAAATTCAGATTTTGTCAAAACCTGGTAAATACCAAATCATTCTGTTAAATGTATTGGAGTGCCTCTACATTTGAACAGCTGTAACTGAGATTGCAGTCTTCTCCAAGTTTTCCAAAACTAAAAATAATAAGATATTTCCACAATTTATTTTAAAAAATAATTAAAATATTGGGGGGGGGATAATAGTATTTCTCAGCAGTGTCTGATCACCCACATTTCAGTATTATGCACTATACCCTTTTCAGATTTTCTTCTGAAGCATTTCTGTTCTGTAGTTTTACTATCGGAGGTCATATGTTATACCAGATAATCTGTTTATATATGGCAGTTCTGATGTGGTTCCGAAAATGAACCAAGGGATCGTTTATACATAGTGAAATCTAGCAGTCTATTTTCATTTTCCAAGCTGAGTCATAAGAAGAAAGTGAACCAACAATATATAATGGGGAAAGATGTTCCAAATCTTTTCATTTTGATGATATTATTAGCATCACAAATAGAGAAATATTTCATAACATTATGATTTTAAACCTGACAGCCTCCCATTAAAATCTGTGGTTTTCGTTTTTCTGGTAAAAGACATATAACTTCCTGCATTAATTCAGGAGAGACGTTTAAATTGCATGGAAAATATTTTAGTAAGATAGTGACATGGTATCGTTAAAATCCGACTTCTCAACCACTGTTTAACTCTCCCACTCCTTTATCATCGGGAAGACTCGATCTGAGGTTACATTATATGGGAGATCAAAGTTTTCTGTACTGCACAGAATGCCTTAGTTCAGTATAGGACAGGGGAGAAATACACTAGTGTCTGTTTACATAGCTTTTGGCCCAGGCTATAAATTAGAATTGGAAAAGCTGTAAAGAGTCAGTAATTTATGGGCTATTAAGATACTTAGGTTAGAAGTAATTCTTGAACATAATGAATGGAGAACACATGCTTTTAAAGGACAAACAGATTCAGCATAATAATATATTTTGGGCCCTGTTTATTTTGTAGACAATTAACAAAATAGGATGTCATATTTTTGCATATCTGTTGCTCTCCTGAAATAGAATCACTAACCACTTGTTAACCACATTGATTTTTTTAATAGACAAAGTGGTTGCTTATAGCTTCCCCACCAG